TTGAATAACTATTCTTTAGATTTATTCAAGTCTTGGCTAATTTCCACAGTTGGAAATATTTAATTTTGAAAATTTTTGCCAATGTTTGTTTTGTTTTTAGGGAGGGGTGAATTTATAGAGGACCATTCACTTCACTATTCCAGAAGTCTTACCTCTTACTGCAGAGTTGCAATAGCACTAAAAATTTTATTTATTTGAACTGTCTATATTGAGAATTAACTACATTTAAAAGCACTTTTTCAGAGACTAACAATACAAATAAAAGCATTTTCATAGCCATTAGAAGACTTAATATTTAACTGGCATTAGTGAAACCTAAATATAAATAGTTAAATACAAATAGAAGGCAACATAGGCCAAGGCACCCCACACAAACACAACTCCCAGTTTTGTATGTTTAAGATGGACTAACATGGATACAGGAGTACAGATTATGCCAGTTCTTTAGAGTGAAAGCCAATCAAGATCCAAGATAAATTTAGAAGATAAGGAAAATTATATCACTTCTTGGCCTTTTGGCTAAGATCAAGTGGAAATTATTACCTTGTTGTTAGGACTAGGATATCTTGGCCCTAAAAAGGGTTAAGAATAGATATGGATATGTGTGAAATTTGTAATTATAGGTGTTGGGGCTCAGAAAATGATATCCCAGAAAGAAGGCCTCAGAAGCATGGTCTCTCCCTGACCTTCGCCTACCTTCCTATATCTCCCCTCTCATTCTTCCCTGAGGCGAGCCATAGAAACTAGAATTCCTCTTCCCCAAGGCAGGTCATAGAAACCACAGCCCAGAAGCCAATCACAAAGCTTAAAAATATTTCCCTAGCTTTCCCCCACTTTCTGTGTAATACTAGCCATAAAGAAATTAAGACCCTCCCTCCAGAGGAGTCCTGCTCCATACTGGGGAGAAGGGAATGCCACACAGAGAATCTAAGAAGAATCTGAGCAGACAGGCCTTGCTGACTTTCCATACTCTATATCCAACACCTTTCTAGGTCTATTTCATATTTCTTTTGTCCAATCACAGTTCTACATGGCTGTCCCTAATTCATAGAACGCGAACATAAAATGGAAAGTTTTCCCTATATCTTTGGGTTTTCATTCTGAAGGCTCCTGTATTATGTAAACTATGATCAAATAAATTTGTTACGGTTTTCTCCTGTTAACCTGTCTTTTGTTATAGAAGAGTTGGCCATGATGAGGAAGAAAGGGAGCTCCCCCTTTTCTGCCCCTACACAAACATTCTGAATTATTCCTGGATTTACATAATAAGTCATATAATTTAAGTTCACTGTTTCTGGTTTGTAACATACCAGCTACTGGGCAGCCCACAGATCGTCAGAAAGTAAAGAAGCAATTCACAGTAAAGAAGAAATCACAAAGGAATTTTGTTTTAGGAGATAGGATGAGGCTTTTCGAAGTAGGCTGGAGTTTTTTTAATGCTAGTATTCTTAGATATAATGTTGGACTATTTTGCTGTAAAAAATGGTCAAGACATAGGTATTAGTTGTTATATCAGAATAAGTTAAACATCATTTCTGCTAAGACTGATACTGCTACATAGCCTGATGTGATATATTTCTGGAATCACTGCTACCTTATGTTTGTTACAAACTTATATTCCAGCCAAAACTAATTTTTAAAGCAATTATTTCTTAAACAAAATCCCATCTTTTAGCTTTCGTGGCTAATTGGCAGATAAAAATGTGTCTAAATACATATTTCTTAAAGAGTTAAAGGCCTAATGTAATCCAAAATTTTGTTTGAATTGGTTACTTAATTTTAATTAATCAAAAATGATGGTAACAAAATAACTAGTCTTATGTGGGTAACATAAACCCCAGTTTTGCTAAGATTAAGCATGCATTGATTCTTTGGTTCTGAATTTCTTTTCTTTCTATCGGAATTCATCATTAATGATCTTCAAAACATCTGGCAGTCGTTTTTAATTTCCGTAGCTTTTAAGAACTAGTCATATCCATGAAGTGACAAAATTGTAGAATTTTTGTAATTCAAGAGTTTTTAGAGATCACATAATTTAATTTACTCATTTCTTGCGTGAGGTACTGCTATCCGGAGAGCTAAAGAGACATGCCCAAGATTACACAGTTTTTGCATTTATAGACAAAAACTAAGTTCTTCCTTCTCAAATACACTTGTTTTCCAAAGTAATATTTATTCACTCTTTTATTATTATTGAAATTGAAAAAGCTCAAAGCTGAAGTATTCAGATAATAGTGGTTTCTGTCTTTTAAGAGGCCTGGAATTATCTTGGAAATGTTGGAAAGCTCTTTATAAAATTGTGATCCAAAAAGTTTTCAAATAGTTAGGAACAAAAGTAGGTTGCATGATTATTAGATTGCATAACACCATAGATGATTTAAAAGATTAAAATGCTGTCTAGACAACTTTGACTTTTAGTATATGCTAGGGTAGCATAATGACTTACTGGTGATATTCACACAAAAATTCCCAGGCCCTATGACTATACCTCACATAACAAAAGGGACTTTGCAGATACGATTAACATTAAGAAGTTTGAGATGGGGGATTATTTTGGATTATCCATGGGGGCCCAATCTAATCATATGAATCCTTAAATGTGAGAACCTTTCCTAGCTGCAGAGAACTAGAGATATGGTAGCATAAGACAAACTTGATGTCATGTTGATGGTTTTGAAGATGGAGGAGGGGGCCATAAGCCATGGAATGCAGGTGCCCTCCAGAAACTGGCAAAAGCCAGGAAAAAAAATTCTCCCCTAGAGCATCCAGAAAGGAATGCAACCCGACTGATATGGATATCTTAGCTTATTAAGACTCGTATTGAATGTCTGAACTACACAAATATAAGATAATAAAGCTGTGCTGTTTCTTTTGTTTGTTTGTTTGTTTGTTTTGAGACAGAGTCTCATTCTGTTGCCTAGGCTAGAGTGCCGTGGCATCAGCCTCGCTCACAGCAACCTCAAACTCCTGGGCTCAAAAAATCCTTCTGTCTCAGTCTCCCAAATAGCTGGGACTACAGGCATGTGCCACCATGCCCAGATAATTTTTTCTATATATTTTTAGTTGGCCAATTAATTTATTTCTATTTTTAGTAGAGACAGGGTCTTGCTCTTGCTCAGGCTGGTCTCAAACTCCTCAGCTCAAACAATCCACCCGCCTGGGCCTCCCGGAGTGCTAGGATTACAGGTGTGAGCCACGGTGCATGGCCGAGCTATGCTGTTTTAAGCCATATGTTTATGATGATTTTCTACAGCAGCAATAGAAAACTAATACCTACCACAAATTCCTATTTTATCAACACTGTCAGGCACACTGATTCATTACATTTAGTCCAGATTTAATTCTACCTATCCAATAAGAAACATTTTATTTGAAACCTAATTTCAGAATAACAAAGAAAGGGAAAAGTATAGTTACTACTAGTACAGGTGTTATTTACAAATTTGTTAGTTTATGTGGGACCAATACACAAATTTTTTTTCAAAAATTCATACAGTTTGAAGTCAGAATAGAACTAATAATATAATCAAGAAGGCTTAGATGACATGAAGGAATACGAATTTTCACATTTCTACGCTATTCTGGGCCTTTATGGAAAGTTAGACCAGGACCAAAAGCACTCAGCTTGCTGAAGCAATCCTTGGCTTGTAGTGGAGACCATGGCATGCCCTTGTCCTCATTCTCTGTAGAAGCTAAAGTTGAGACAGGTGCACATGTCCTGCTCTGAACTCCTGATTCAGAGTGTGCTCTACAGGTGAGCAGGGTCAGAGCAACATTCTTAACCTTTAAGAGGTGACATTTCCAAATGTTTAAGTCTGAGGGTCATTTTGTTTAAAGGGCTAATTTGTGCATTTGAAATTAAAATGTTCATATTTTAATGAGAATTCGTATTTCTTTCCATGAAGATGTACAATGAGAAGTTATTAATATAAAAGATGTGAATGTTCTGAAATTTCCTAACTTCAGATTTTTGGCTCTCTTCTTGTTTAACAAGAGGAATGAACACAACTATATTGACTCATGCCCTAAGTAGATAGCTATGTGACACTTTATGCCAAGCTATTGGCCTCTTTCAGTCTCTTTTGATCTATTTTTTCACCTTTCTTGTAACCTTTATGAACAGTTGAATGATGTGTGGAAATTGAGTTCATCCCAAAATCAATGCCATTGAGTATGCTATGTGATCTCTCAAATACCATATAAAAAGGGGAACTCTCAAAGTGTCATTACCACCACAGCTGCATATATTGTATTTAGGAGTATTTAGATTGGACTCCATTTCTATTGCAAATTTAAATGCAACTAAAAAGTTATGACTTAGCCTATCAACCTGCCAATTATTATAGAAATAGGACAGTTTGCACTGCTTTTTTCCAGTACTTCCAATAATGCTTCTCATGTACCCAGGTCATTTTTCACCAGGAGGTATAAAATCTTTTTATAAATATTTATTCTTATATTTCACTCCCTATCCAGTGTCTTTAACATCTGTAAAAAACTTGCAAAATTGAGGCATTGGTTTTAATATTAAGATTGTAGGCTGGACCCATTGGCTCATGCCTATAATCCCACCATTTTGAGAGGCCAAGGCAAGAGGATTGCTTGAGCCCAGGAATTCAAGACCAGCCTGGACAACATAGTGAGACTTTGTCCCTACAAAACTAAAAAAACTATCTGATGGTGTGTGCCTGTAATCCTAGCTACTCGGGAAGCTAAGGTGGGAGGATTGCTTGGGCCCAGGAGTTAGAGGTTATAGTGAGTTATGATCACATCACTGTACTCCAGCCTGGGTGACAGAGTAAGACCCTTTCTCTTAAAAAAAAATTGCATAGTAAGCTGGTGGACTGGGCTAAATATGGAATGACTCAATTCTTATATCTAAAGTAACCCATACATTCATTATTAATTTATAGAGATACTTTATGAAAGGGAAATGAATTTTAAAGTTGTGGTTGCTTATTTTTAACTTGTTTTTTCTCTTTTATCTCTCTGCATAATAGAAAGATTGAGTGGGCACTGGAGCAGACGGCATTTAAGCTATCCAAGTCCGCTGGGCAAGAGGAGGACAGCTAACATTCTAACAAAGGTGGGGATAGGGGTTGGACAGGGTGCTAAACAATTTGATAGAGCCCGTTTTGCTTTTTTTTTTTTTAATGAAACTATTGCTTTTCTTCCACCCTCTCCAGCATTCTTCACATCTTCTATGCCCCAAGGTCCAAAACATGAATACAAGATAACCCAGTCACAGCATGTATGTCCAGTGACCATGGTTATGTTCTCTGTATTTAGCTTTCTTCCTACAGAGAGATTGACAGCGTAGGTTCACTCAATCACAAAAACGTGCTCAATCAGATATATTTTTGGTTTTGAACTACTACTGAATTGTAGTCATGAAAAGAAACCAGAGTTGAGAACTTTCATAGAGATAAAGTATGAAATGGCCATGAGATATTAACTACTAGGTTTTCTTAGAAACTTACCACCCAAATTCAAATTCACATAGTTTGGTGTATTTTTATTTGTTTCTTTTCCTTTTTTGCTTTGACTTACTCAGAAAAGGGGTTTTATCAATCTCTAAAGCAAAAGATGTTGAGTACAAGTAAAAAACCACTGTGGTTTTGCCTAGTTTTGTTATTATTTGTTGGTTTGTTTGCTTATACATAGATGCCTCTCTTTACTTCCTTGGTTCTAGTTTGGTTTGATAATGTTGCTATGATTAGCAGACTAATTTAACTGAAATACTTCAATTCTCATATTTTATATTTTTTTATCTTCCCCAAGGGTAATTCTTTTGTTTTCTTCTTTCCAAATTTGATTTCTTAGAGAAATTTTACCTTAGAAAGTTGGTTTAGCATGAATTGATTCCTTGTTTGTGCACTTTTATGGAGAGTTGTTTATTTTCTAGGCACAAAAGATAACTGGAATATTGTTTTTGTTCTCAGGTTGCTAATAGTAATCACATTTTGAATACTAGAAAGGTAGGTAAGGCAAGGCAATGAAATAAGTGAAATAGTCTTCAAATTTATTTCTTAAAATAGATTTGTAACTTAGAACCAGTATTTCTTTTTCTTGCATGTGTGGAAAATTTTTCCCTTGAAGAGTATGAAGAAGGTATAATGAGAACAAAGAATATTTCATACTTATTAAACCTGGTCAAATCTGAAATTCCTATATGTCACAGAATATTATGGAAGAGGTGCTAGGACATTTTTTAATGATTCGGTCACCAAACATATGGTGTTTTATTGGTCTCCTTACAGCGCACAACACAAGTTAATATTTTATGGGGTTCTAGTAAACTAATGGGCAAGATTTCAAGGAATGGTGCTAGTGTGAGTACCCAAATACTTTCATTACCAAAATTGGAAAAGTTAGTGAAAAGGAAGGGTTTTACAGCAATGGAGTCGAAGTAACCCAAATCCCCTGTTAGAAATTGATCTAAGCAGAATTCCAACCAATAAAACGAGTAAATCAAATTATTGTGCTTATGCTTATTCTCCTGTGTTAAATTGTGAAACCACACCTTGGGAAATAGAACTACCATATTTACCAGAATCTCTTTCATCATTTATTATGATGATTTCACCATAAATATGTTTTCATTTATATCAGGCTAAATGCCACTAGACAAAGGTACATAGCAAAACTGTTAGCTTTTAATTTTATGTCACAATATGTCTTTAGAAATGTAGCATGAAATTCAGAATTCTTCCTTTCTCAAATGCCTTTTAAAATAAGGAGGTAGAGAAATGAATCCACAGAAGAGATTTTTCAAGATGTTATTGGTAGTCACTGAATATTCAAATACTGCTTATATTTTGAGAAGGTGGATATCATTCACGTGATTCCATTCAAAATGTCTCAATGACATGGAAGTTCCAGGTAAAGGAAGATATTTTTATTCTAAATTATCTATGCAATTATATCAATTCTCAATTTCACGTGAGAACCTGACTTCTGACTAAAAATGTTATTGTTTAAAAATGGGAACATAGGGTAGTGTTATGATTGCTATGGTGACCTTTTTTTTGAGACAAAGTATCACTTTGTTGCCCAGGCTAGAGTGAGTGCCATGGCATCAGCCTAGCTCACAGCAACCTCAAACTTCAGGCTCAAGCAATCTGCTGCTCTCAGCCTCCCGAGTAGCTGGGGCTGGCAGGTAATG